CATTTTTGGCATTGAATGCATTGCTTCGCCCAGTTGCCAACATCCGCTTGCATTGCAGGCCAAAAGAATTTTTCAGTGATGAGTTTTCTTGTTGTTCTAACACCTGGATGACTAATGTTGTGCAGTGCATTGAAGACTTCGCGACGACATTCTTCTGGTATGTATGGTCGCATGGTTGTCGTTGAGGCTTCACAGTATATAGGTAGATGCGTCATTGGCATTGTAACTTGCTTGATGGACAAGTTACCTTGCTTCGATAGATGTTTTATGTTGTCACTATCTCTGTCTTGTGCTGCGGCGATCTTATGATAGTCGATTGATGTAGGGCACGTTACACTGTCGATTGGTACGCGACTGAGTGCGTCGGCAACTATGTTGTCCTTTCCACTGATGTGACGTATGTCGGTCGTGAATTCACTTATGAAAATAAGTTGTCTTGCTCTTCGTGGTGTTTCCGATAATGATGGTTTCTTTGGAAGTACATATGTTAATGGCTTGTGGTCGGTAAAAACGATCAGGTTTCGACCCTCGAACGTTTTTCTGAAGTGCTTGATAGCCATGTAAATAGCGAGTAGCTCTCGGTCGAATGTACTGTAGTTACGTTGAGTATCGGAGAACTTCTTCGAAAAATATCCAAGTGGTTGCCATTTCCCATTGCTGTATTGTTGGAGAACTGCTCCTGCTGAGAGATCGGATGCGTCGCTGAAGATAGCAAGGGTTGCTTCGTGTGATGGGTGAGCGAGTAAAGCTGCATTTTGGATCGCAATTTTACAAGCTTCAAATGCCTTCGTGGCTTCATCGTTCCATTCGATTGACGTTTTATCTTTTTTCTTCGTGTTGTGAAGGTAGGCGTGAAGTGGTGCTTGGATTTCAGCGGCTTTAGGTATGTGTTCTCTGTAAAAATTTATCATCCCAAGAAAACGCCTTAGCTCTTCGATAGTTTTAGGTTTTGCATAATCGATGATTGCTCTGACTTTTTCGGCAGGCGGTTTTATTCCTTCCTTGCTGACGGTGAAACCAAGAAATTGAACTTCTTGCTGTCCAAATATGCATTTCGAAGGGTTGATTGTGATTCCGTTGTCTTCTAATCGCTGTAGCACGGTGCGTAGATGGGTTTCGTGCGTTTCTTTATCAGGGCTTGCAACAAGGAGATCATCAATAAATGCGAAAACGAAATCCAGTCCATGAAGTACTTCGTGTATGAATCTTTGGAAAGTTTGACCTCCGTTCTTTAATCCTGGGATCATTCTTGGGAATTCGAATAATCCCATTGGGGTAATTATTGCTGTCTTCTCTATGTCTTCATCGCGGACTCTTATTTGTTGGTAAGCTCGGTTGAGATCGATGGTGGAGAATATAGTCTTGTCTGATAGTTGATGAGTGAAATCCCTGACTCGCGGTATTGGGTAGCGGTCAGGAGTGGTAATAGAATTCAGTCTTCTGTAATCTCCACAAACTCGTAATTCTCCGTTCTTCTTCGGTACAATGTGAAGTGGTGATGACCAAGGGCTTTTGCTTGGACGGCATATTCCTTGCTCAATCATGTTTTCGAATTCCTTTCGAACTTGCTCGTATAGGTGTGGTGCGATTGGACGTGCACGACAATGAAGTGGTGGTCCATTGGTGTCGATGAAATGCTCAACGTCGTTCTTCGGTGTTAATTTCATTGAAGTTATTCTTGTGATACCAGGGTATTCTTCGAGGATCTTGTGATACGGTTGTTGCACATCTATGCTTCTTATTGTGGGCAGATTGGTTGCTTGTACAAAAGACTGAGATGCAAGATTGGTTTTCCCGTCGATGATTCTTCTATTTTTGATGTCGACGACCAACTGGTGATGTTGAAGAAAATCAGCACCGATGATTGGTTTGCTGACTTTAGCGACGATAAATCTCCATTTGAATGGTCGGCGTAGATTAAAATCAAGTTCCATTGTTTTTTCTCCATATGTAGGAATAACCGTATTGTTTGCTGCATAGAGTTGAAAATCTAGTGGCTTCAACTTCTGTCCTTGCTTCGGCGGTAACACTGAGATATTTGCTCCGGTGTCGATAAGGAAAGTAAGCTTGCTTTTTTTATCGGTGACGAAAAGACGGTAGGACTTTGCTGTTACGCTGGATCCCGTCGCATCGAGCGTACTAGTTAGTTTTCCGTATTCGTATTTTCATTTTTGAATGTACACGGTTCTGTGCATTTTCTTGCCTCGACCCCGAAACGTCGATGATAGTAGCAGTAAGGGGATCTTGATGTTGAGCTTATTCGACTTCTACTTGCAGAGCGGTTGCGACGAAAAGGTGATCTTCGGTGTTGCTGATTGCGCTGGTTGTACTGTTGTTGGTAAAAGGTATGATGCTGGGAAGCTTTGAGCGCGGCGACTTCGAATGATAGCTTCCGAATTTCTTCGAGAAGAAACTGGGTATCATTGGCCTTTGTTGAAGTGCCTTCGATGATCGATATGTGTGAGCTACTGCTGTTTTCGATCATCTTGTCCGCCAGGAGTGCCAGTTCGTCGAGCTTCGTCTGCGTGCTGAATGTTTCGCTGACTGCTATTACCGATCGAATATGTGGTGGTAGGTGGTTTACCCACATTAGCCGTAGTGTTGAATCCGGAACTTTATCTCGCGCCAAAGTACGCATTTTGCGTAGGAGTTGTGTGGGTTTCTGGTCTCCAAGTTCTATTTCTGATAGAAGTTTTTGTAGCTGTCGACTGTCGGATTCTTCATATGCGGAGATCAGACGATCCTTCAGTGAATTATACTGGTCGACTGCTGGTGGGTTGTACAACAGGTCCGCAATTTGTTCGATGTCTTGTTTCTCAAGTTGGGCTATCACCATCTGTGCTAATTGCGCTTGGCTCTTCTTTAAACCATTCGTTGCGGCTTCAAAACTGACGAACCAAAGTCGTGGTTTGTCTCTCCAAAACGGTGGTATTCTTAACGATAGAGATATACCGGCGATTTCTGGTTCCTTTACCGGGTTTGATGTATATGTGTTTGCCTCCTGCTCCATAATGACGGCTTGATTACACTGATTTTATATAAACTGAAGTCTTCCTTCTCGGTGTTCGTACGGGTTTCCTTCGCGGTGTTCGTGCAATAGTAGTGGTACATCGCAGGGTGTTCCTTCTTGGTGTTCGTACCGGATCTTCCCCCCTCGGTGTTCGTACGGGGTCACCACTGTAATAGTGGAGACGAACTGTCCACTATTAACAGACTCCGAGTGGTTTTCTTTAAGGTGGAGAAATGAAACTACTGTTTATAAGCAAAGCGGAGTATGAATTTAGAATGTACTGTCGAATGGGATTCGGAATGGAATATATTTTGCATCAACCTTGCCTATATTTATATGGCTGGCTCACTATTGATTTGCCAATGGTAACAATTAATATTTTGCCTAGCCAATTATATTGCTTATTTTATGACCAATGAAAACTATTTAAAATATACAATTATCTACGTTTCGTTTCCCGGCGTGAGACTTGTTTGTTGTTCACGAAGCTACGTCGCTGGACCGGGCTATATAAGACATGCAGATCGGTGCGCACGCGTAGTCGGCGGGCGGCGGCGGTGTGGAATACAGCTCCGGAACAGCAAGAGGAAACGAACTGCGGCGTTGAAGAAACGGCTCACCATTGGTCGACGGATACGTGACGATAGCGGCGTGTGAAGTCGGTGTGGCGCTGAATGATATTTGCGGCTGCTTCTTGTTTCTTTATAAGAACGTCAAATTATCTATATACAGTCCGCAGTATCTCAGTAGCCAAGAATAATTAGGAAATAAAATGTTTTTTTATTTATTCTCGCCTTCCGCGTTATGGTAGCAGCGGAGTATATATTATTTATTCCCGTTTAGGTTTGATTAATCTGGCTGCTACATCTAGATCTCAAATTTCTGTTTTAATGTCTTTAAACCATATAATAGGCATGATGGTTGTATTAATGTGTCGGCGATAGATTTCACTTAGACGTTCTCCGAGTTCTTGGTCTGAACATATTAATGCGTATCGTTTGGGAGGGCACTTGTGTAATAGTAGATGATTGAATTTGATATTTGGTGGTGAGGTGTAGTGTCAGGCGCCCTTAACGTTAACGGTCAAATTTGCTTGTCAAATTTGTTTATCAAACTTCACGTTTTCATGAAACAGTAGCTTAAACGATGAAACCAAATATGAAACAAATTTTTTTAACTATCTAGTAGATTCGGATTTCGCTTTTCGTGACGTCACGTCGCCGTGCTGAGCGCTTACAATGATGCCTTGATCATACGTAACGTGCAAGTGGGCGGGACAGTAACGTATTTCTCGGCCGAGACAGTGACGTAACCGAGTAGCTGTTCACACATGTTTTGAAAATGGCAGAGTCAGTTCGGTTCTATTCAGACTCAGACACGATGTATCGTAAAACAGTTATTCAAAGTTACTTATTCCACTATTAGCTATAGAATTAAAGGAGTTGTTAGAAAAAGAACAACACCGAATTTGTACAAGACCATAGATGTTGAGAAGATCTGCTACAAACACCGTTTTTAATGAATCAGAAATAGAAGATCATGCTGAATTCAGAATGATTCTGAAAATGGATGTACTACAACATTTTGACATATTGTTAGAAAATATTACTCCATTGATATAAAGGGAAGATACAGTTATGGGAGAAGCTATATCTACCAAAACTAAACTACAAATAGCATTATGCTATTTGTAAACTGGGATGAGCTACCGTTATTTACAGGCTTTTTACAGAGTTTCTCGGGCTGCAATATCATCACTCGTACCGGAAGTCATGGATGCAATATTTACTTATTTGGAGAATTATTTAAAGGTACGTAGTTATTTCTTAAGCACTACAAATAAAACTTTTATTGAATTAAACACTGTTTATAATTTCAAACAATTTGGTAGAAATTAAAAAAAAATTAAACTTGCCGTCTTCCATCTGCCTCCAAAGCTGCAAATATCCCAGCAGCCACCTTATTAGTGCTTACAAAATTTGGATTAGCGTTGATATCATGTACTGGAGGAGATGTTGCAACTGATTGCGATGTAGACGTCATGGAAGCTAGTATTGGTGAAAGAACAGATGGTGCAGCAAAGATTGATTGTGTTGTAGACGTCATGGGAGCTAGTATTGGTGAAGGAGAAGATGGTGCAGAAAAAATTAATTCCGTTGTAGACGTCATGGGAGTTGGTACTGCTGGTTGTGGCGGAGATTCCACATAAGTTTCGCCAAATTGATAAAAGTCGTTAGTCGCGTGTAAATATACAGAAGGAGGCGTTTGGTAGCTGTGATTAGACGAATAAGAATGGGATGGCGTTCTTTGTCTAAGTTCTTTAATCCCATATTTGGTCACAATATTTTGAATTTTCCTTTGTAAAAAAAAGCATTCTCTGCCGATAAATTCTTAAGTTGCAATGCAACACTCCTTCCAAACACATCAAATACAGTTTCATACTCACAATTAACGTTTTTTCAGATCAGAAACAGCTTGAAAAATTTCTATGGTACTCTTTTTAGCTCTCGTAGTATTATTACCAGTGTTGCTAGTAGTTGCTGTGGTAGTTGTTGTAGTTACAATAAGTGGTACTTGCTGCATAGAATAATACATAGTTAGTGTAAGTAAGGCAGCTGGATATGATAGAGTATCACTCGAGATGCTAAGGGCTGGAGAGGGAGTGGTGGCAGGCCTGCTGTACACCTTGTTTAATTTATGTTGGGAATTAAAATGGGTACCGGATGACTGGTGTAAAGCAGTTATAGTACCAATATATAAAGGAAAAGGGTCACAGCAGGACTGCAAAAACCGTACCGTGGTATCAGCTTCCTTAGTATTGTGGGTAAACTGTATGCTAAGGTGTTAATTGAAAGAGTAATGAAAGAAACTGATGCAAAAATTTTGGGATGTGCAAGCGGGTTTTAGAAAGGGAATAGGGTGTACAGATCAAGTCTTTTCCATGCGCATGATTGCGGAGAAGTCTTTGGTTCAGTTTTTGGCTAATACCAGAAAGTTTTTTGTGCGTTCATGGACTTGGAAAAGGCTTACGACGGAGTGGACAGGAATGTGTTATGGCAAGCACTGAACTCATATGGGTTGAGCGCTGGTTTGATACAGGCATTAAGGTCTCTTTATAGGGACTCTAGTGCTTGTGTCAGGATCAATGGGGTCTACTCGGACTGGTTTGGCATTCAAAAAGGTGTCAGACAGGGCTGTGTAGCTTCCCCTTGGCTGTTCAACCTATTTATGGACAGGTATTTGCAAACTTTGAAAGATGAAGAATGTGGGTTAAGAATGGGCGAGTTACCCGTTAAATGCCTTTTGTATGCCGATGATCAAGTCATATTTGCGTCATCGGCGGCTGAGTTGCAACTGATGGTTACATTAATAAACTGGGCATTAAAAGAAACGGGAATGAAAGTGAACGCATAAAGCACTGCTGACTCAGTGGATTCTAGTAACTGGTATTACAAGCTTATGTTTGTTCCTAGTGTTTAAAGTTTGAACATCTTTATTCTTATGAAAGCTATTTATAACACTTTTTGTACATTTTTCCTTTAATAAAACATTTCAAGTTGTTAATTGACAAATTTTGTACATTTTCTGCAATTTAGCTGTAAAAGCGTATTATACATTGCCCCATAAAGCACTACTGACTCAGTGGATTCTAGTAACTGGTATTACAAGCTTATGTTTGTTCCCAGTGTTTAAAGTTTGAACATCTTTATTCATATGAAAGCTATTTATAACACTTTTTGTACATTTTTCCTTTAATAAAACATTTCAAGTTGTTAATTGACAAATTTTGTATACAATGTCGCCCATCGGCAAGTGACCGCCCGGGATATTCTGCATGTACATGAAAAATTATCGGTAAAAAACCTAAAAAGGGGGGGGTCTATCTTAAATACTTTTTAAGTTATTGAATTTTTAATTTTTTGAATGATGTTGGTCACCTTGTTCCACACTTTTTGCTCTAGCTCCAATGCTACGGGCACGATTTCGATTCTGTTTTCTTATTTCATCAGGTTAATAAGTTGTTTTGTTGGATTACGTAACATTTTTAGTTAAAATAAGGCGAATCATAAAAATAAACGTAGACAAAGACATTTTTTCTAAGCAAAAAAGTGATATTTATTTACAAAAACACGTGTAAGTACATAAAATGCCCCCTTAACATGGGCTTTTTACTCATTATTAATAATCTAGAGCATAACTACTACACATTTACAATACACTATCAATATCTATCTCTTAAAATTTTTTAATAACAGCGTGTCAAAAACGGGTCCCTCCTTGCTGTGCATCATCGTCATCCAGGTAGAGAGCGGTTCCTAGAAACCGGTAGATAGATAACGCACGTGCGCACCCTTTAAATAATTGATGCGGACGACATGGCGACATAGAGTTAAAACTATTAATGCAGAAATGCCTATTTATAATAAAAATAACAGGCATGATTAAAAAAAACAACAATTTTAATTAATTAAGTTTTCAAAATGGCCCCCACCCTCCTGTAAGCAAATAAAAGCCCTCGTGGCTACACTATTGGTTGTTCGCAGTAATTCTGCAGGATTTTCTTTAATTTCCTCTGCGGCAGCAAAATCCTAGCCGTTAATTGTTCGCGGCTTTCAATGCGCGCGGCATACACCTTCTGTTTCATGAATCCCCATAAATAAAAATCTAAGGGTGTCAGGTCGGGCGATCTCGGCGGCCAAGCAACGGAGCCTCCTCGACCGATCCATCGCGGATAATTTTCATTCAGATAATTTCGCACTAGTCGTGCGAAATGTGCTGGGGGCTCCGTCTAGTTGCAGATGCATTCTTCTTCTCGTTGCCAGCGGCACTTCATCCAAAAGTGAGGGCAACGTATTTTGGAGAAAATCTAAATATGCGTGTTGATCTAGCCTGTGAGGCAATACGTAAGGGCCAATGAGCATATTGTCAATTATTCCAGCCCATACATTAACAGAAAATTCTTTCTGAAAAGATGTTTTTCTTCTGACGTGTGGGTTTTCAGCGGCCCAGACATGAAGATTTCGGTGGTTTGTAATACCCGCCCTTGTGAATGTACTCTCGTCCGTCCACAAAATCTTCTTTAGAAACTCAGGATTGGTTCTTTGTTGCGATAAAATCCAGCTACAAAACACAGATCTCGCACGGTAATCCACATCTTCCAAATGTTGAGCACGCCGGAAGTGATAAGGATGGAGGCCTTCTTTCTTAAGAATTCTCCAGATTGTTATTCTTGGTACATTCAGTCTTATTGACAAGAGACGAATGCTTGTCATAGGGTCAGCGCGCACTAATCTTAACACTTCCTCTTCCATGTCCACGTGAAGTGCCACGCCAGGCTCATTTTGTCGTGGAAGTCCTTGCTCACAAAAACGACGATGCACAGCAATGAAGGACCGGTACCCAAGTACTGGCCTACCTGGATAACGACGTTTGTACTCTTCGACAGCAGAACGTGCATTCCCATCACAAAAACCGTATACAAAATGCATATCAGCTACGTGAGAAGGCGGTAAATCACGCAATCGTAGCATTACGATGCTTGAAACGCACAGGAATGGTCCTCGAAAAGATAAATAGCGCACAAATTAAAAAACACGTAACGTCCCGGGATCAGTAATCGAGCGACTGAATGATGCACAAACAACCAACCGAGAAGAGTGCGCACGTGCGTTATCTAGCGGTCTCTAAGAACCGGTTTCTACCTGGATGACCTTTTTTTTGCTTGATATGGAGCAAATTTTTGACACGCTGTTATTAAAAAATTTTAAGAGATAGATATTGATAGTGTATTGTAAATGTGTAGTAGTTATGCTCTAGATTATTAATAATGAGTAAAAAGCCCATGTTAAGGGGGCATTTTATGTACTTACACGTGTTTTTGTAAATAAATATCACTTTTTTGCTTAGAAAAAATGTCTTTGTCTACGTTTATTTTTATGATTCGCCTTATTTTAACTAAAAATGTTACGTAATCCAACAAAACAACTTATTAACCTGATGAAATAAGAAAACAGAATCGAAATCGTGCCCGTAGCATTGGAGCTAGAGCAAAAAGTGTGGAACAAGGTGACCAACATCATTCAAAAAATTAAAATTCAATAACTTAAAAAGTATTTAAGATAGACCCCCCCTTTTTAGGTTTTTTACCGATAATTTTTCATGTACATGCAGAATATCCCGGGCGGTCACTTGCCGATGGGCGACATTGTATTTTCTGCAATTTTCTTGTAAAAGCGTATAATACATTGCCCCCATAAAAGCACTACTGACTCAGTGAATTCTAGTAACTAGTATTACAATCTTATGTTTGTTCCTAGTGTTTAAAGTTTGAACATCTTTATTCTTATGAAAGCTATTTATAACACTTTTTGTACATTTTTCCTTTAATAAAACATTTCCAGTTATTAATTGACAAATTTTGTACATTTTCTGCAATTATGTTGTAAAAGCGTATAATTACATTGCCCCATAAAAGCACTACTGACTCAGTGGATTGGCCTCTTTTATTATGCTGAGTTAATTGCATATTTAGCAATGTCTGAGCAGGCTTTGATAATGTTTTCAAAACCTTTTGAAATAATTTCGTCTTTGACATTTTTTTGCTGCTTTTATTTGATTTTTTTGATATTTTTTTTAAATCTGTATTTTATGTAGTATTTTCTTCATTTTCGTACTTCTTTTAATCAATGTACCTGAAAAAGTATGACAAACAGGTAAGCATATAGAGATCAGTAAAAATAATGACAGCATAGTTCAGATTGTATTGGAATCTCTTTTAAATGGAAGATTTTTAATTGCAACTTCTGCCTTATAATTATATAATGTATATTTACAATACGCCAGTAGAATGCTTTTGGAGCTGGCGCGGTGCTGCAATCTGCACAGTGCAAAAAAGTAGCATTCCTACTGCATGGCTTGTGGACCAGTGATAACAAAATTTTGAAGTTACATCTGCAAGGGTTTTAACCACGTTCTACATTTGAGCCAGGAGCGGTTTGTCTCAGAGTCCTAGTTACTTCAGATGCAACGAACACAAGGTTAATCATTTCCTAGAATTGACTACAGGAATAGTTTCAGTCAACTGCCTACCCCACATGCTATTTACCTTGTGCGTTGTGAGCCAGGTTTAGATATATAGCCTTTTTACTTGTTTCGTCTATGAAAAGATTCTCAGCATACGACATCCTAATGTCGTACTTCTTATTATTA